TGACCACTCTTCGGGTGCTGCTGCACGTTGCTGCTCACCGTGACTACGAGCTTCACTCTCTTGACTTCAGCACAGCTTTCCTACAGGGCAGCCTGCACGAGGAGATCTGGCTGCGCCGCCCCCCGGGCTTCACTGGGTCGTTCCCTCCTGGTACCCAGTGGAGCCTCCGGCGGCCGGTCTACGGTCTCCGACAGGCGCCACGTGAGTGGCACGACACACTGAGGACTACGCTTGCGGCTCTTGGGTTCGCGCCTTCTACTGCTGACCCGTCGCTGTTTCTGCGGACCGACACTTCACTGTCGCCGTTCTACATCCTCGTGTACGTCGACGACTTGGTTTTTGCCACTGCTGACACCGAGGCTCTCGCCCACGTGAAGTCGGAGCTGCAGAAGAGACACACGTGCACAGACTTGGGTGAGCTGCGCAGCTACCTTGGCTTGCAGATCACCCGGGACAGAGCACGCCGCACCATCACCTTGACTCAGTCACACATGGTGCAGCAGGTCCTTCAGCGCTTCGGCTTTTCGAGGAGTCCACCCCCTACTACGTCAGGTACCCCAGTCGAGGTCTCCCGGTCCCTCCCCCCCCTCTCTTCCTGACCGCCGCTCCCCCGCCTGCTCCCCCGGTACAGCCTCCCCCCCCTGGTCCAGCCCCGTCTGGTGTGTCTCAGGCTAGCCCTCCCCCTTCGGTAGCCCCCCCTGTACAGCCTCCCTCCCCACAGTCTTCCTCGCCGCCTCCTGCAGGTGCTCCCTCTCGGGAGGTTGGTCCTGCGACTGTCCCTGTACAGGTCTCTGGTTCTGGGGGTGCTGGAGTTGGAGCTGAGCCGCGGGTTGCAGAGGACTCTTGTCTTCCGGGGGCTGGTACTGGTCGTGCGGAGTCTGGGGGTGCTGGTGCGGAGTCTGGGGGTGCTGCGTCTGGGGGTGAGGGTGTCCCTTCGGTTTCTGGAGAGCCTGGGTCTGGAGCTGGTGTTAGTGCTGCCTCTGGGGGTGGTGTGCTTGGTGCTTCGGAGGTCGACTCTGGGGCTGCCGCTGCCCCGGACACTACTCCTTCCCCCCACCCCTATCCGACCAGGTTCCAGGCTCGTGTTCGCCGTGCTCGTGAGGAGCAGCTGGAGTTGGAGAGAGAGGAGAGAGAGTTGCAGCGGCTCGAGGAGCAGGAGCGACAGCAGCAGGAGCAGCAGCAGGAGCAGCAGCAGGGGCAGCAGCCGCTGGAGCAGCAGCAGCCGCAGCAGCCGCAGCAGCAGCTGCTGCCGTCTCCTCCTCCTGTCTCGGGTCTTCGGACCCTTGGTCTCCCCTCTCCCTCTCCTTCCTCCTCCCCCTCTCCTCCTGTCTCTGGTCCTCCGCTTCCTCCTCCTGACCCCTCTCCCGCTGTTTTCCCTCGTTCTCAGTCTTCGTTGTCTCCTCCTCCTTCTCAGACTTGGGCCTCTCGTCGCTCCCCTCGTGCTCGTCCCTCGTCTCCTGTTCCCTTCACTGACCTTCGTACAGCCTTCCTTTGTTCTCGTCCACCTCGTCCGTCTCCGTCTGTGCTTCCGTCTCCTCCTGAGTCGGCCCTCACTGTGTCGCTTCCTTCTCCTGTCACTGACTACTACCGCACGTACCGTCCTGTTCTCTCTCGTGTTCTCGCCTCTCTTGTTACCCACCCTCGTGCCTCTCTGTCCTCTGTGTCCGCTCTTACTGCCGCAGTCACTGAGTTTGCCTCTACTCGCCGCCTTGACTACGCCACCAGTCTTGTGGCTGCTCCTCCTTCCAGTCCTCTGGCCATCGGGGGTGTGTCTGCCCTTGGCTGTGACGCCCTAGAGGACAGGCAGTTTGAGCTAGAGTTCCTGGCAGCCGCTTCCCCTCATCTCTGTGCCATGCTCCTCGCCCCTGAGGGTGACCCCGACGCCCTTGACATTCCGACTCCTCGCACTTACGCTGAGGCAGTGTCAGGGCCTTGGGCCTCTCAGTGGAGAGCTGCCATGGACGCAGAGATGGCCTCCTACAGATCCACAGGCACCTACGTCGATGAGGTTCCCCCTCCGGGGGCGAACGTAGTCGACGGCATGTGGATCTACAGGGTGAAGCGGCCACCGGGATCTCCTCCGGTCTTCAAGGCGCGCTACGTGGCTAGAGGCTTCAGTCAGCGCGAGGGAGTTGACTTCTTTCAGACCTTCGCGCCCACCCCGAAGATGACCACTCTTCGGGTGTTACTACACGTAGCAGCACAGAGAGACTACGAGTTACACTCTCTCGACTTCTCTACTGCTTTCCTTCAGGGCAGTCTTCACGAGGAGGTCTGGTTGCGTCGTCCCTCTGCCTTCACTGGCTCTTTCCCTCCTGGGACCCAGTGGAGGCTGAGGCGACCGGTTTACGGTCTTCGTCAGGCTCCTCGTGAGTGGCACGACACCCTGCGTTCTACCCTGTCTGACCTTGGGTTCCAGCCGTCTTCTGCTGACCCGTCGCTGTTCGTTCGTCGTGGCCCCACACCTTTCTTTGTTCTGGTCTACGTTGACGACCTTGTTTTCGCCACCCCTGACAGGGTTGCTTTGGCACACGTGAAGTCCGAACTGCAGAAGAGACACACCTGCACTGATCTTGGTGAGCTGCGCCACTACCTTGGCCTGCAAATCACCAGGGACAGAGCTGCTCGCACCATTACACTTTCACAGTCACACATGGTGCAGCAGGTCCTTCAGCGGTTCGGGCTTCAGCACTCCACAGTACAGCGCACACCTCTTGCTGTTGACCACAGACTCACTGGACCCTTTCCTGACGAGCCGTTCGAGCCTAGTGGTCCCTACGCAGAGCTTGTGGGTTGCCTCATGTACCTGATGACTTGTACTCGCCCGGACCTTGCCTTCCCTCTCAGCGTTCTTGCGCGCTTTGTTGCGCCAGGGAGACACCGTCCTGTTCACTGGACAGCAGCTGTGAGGGTGGCGAAGTACCTAGCGACGACATCAGGCGTGGGGCTAGTTCTTGGAGGGCAGCAGTCTGTCGTACTTACTGGTCACTGTGACTCCTCTTACGCTGACGACGCTGAGACTCACAGGTCTACTCAGGGGTACTGTTTCAGTCTGGGTTCTGGAGCTGTTTCCTGGCGGTCCACGCGCTCCTCTTCGGTCTCGACCTCTACAGCTGAGGCTGAGATCTACGCTGGTGCCATGGCGGCACAGGAGCTGCGTTGGTTGACCTTCTTGCTCACCGACCTTGGTGAGCGGCCGAGCTCTGCACCGACCTTGTTCACTGACAACAAGGCGTCTATTCTCCTTTGTCGAGAGCCACGACTGGAGAGCAGAGTGAAGCACATTCACGTCAGGTACTTTCTTCTGCGAGAGTTGCAGAGGCGTGGACAGGCTCGCTTTGAGTTTGTGGAGTCCGAGGCCAACACTGCAGACATCTTCACCAAGGCGCTTCCGCCTTGTGACCACCAGAGGTGCTGTGTGCAGTTAGGCCTTGTTGACACTGGTTCTCGTGTTGCTTAGACTTGAGTGTACTGTTTACTTTGCTTTCTATATATCTCTGTTACTTCTTGGACTGGCCTTGTGGCCACTGTTGTTTGTGCTCAGACTGTGTGGTGACGTTGTGATCCACCCTGAGCTTCGTTTCTTGGACTGGTCTTGTGACCGTACTCGTTTGGTTCTGCTAGACACCCCTCACTTAGGCTATGGGGGTGTGTCAAATGTTGTAGCCTATAGTGAGGTTTGTCTTAGGGGGTACAAAACTTAGGGTTAGCTATATGTACCCCAACCAACAACAATGCATCATCCATTTTTCTCATTCTGACACCCACCCACTTGTCTTGGATAGATGATATTTTCCTTCTCTAACTCGCTTGTTGATGCTTCTGTACTATTTTCCGTCTCTAACTCGCTCGTTGATGCTTCTGGCATCCACTGCTGCACAGAGCTCACCCACCGCTACATTCCTGTATACCCACCAGGGCCCAAAATAGGTTTTAGCTCACTCTTTCAAATCAGGGTGACAGGCCCTCCGTACCCTGACTGGTAGGGTAATTTTTCTCGTACACTGATTGTAGCAGCCTAAAAGTTCAGTTACACTGATTTCAGCAGGGTAATATATGTCGTACACTGTTTCCTTCCTACGCACGTATTTAAACTACACTATCAGTTACTTAACACTAAAGTGTTCTGCACACAACCTGTACTAACAATCTAGTTAAATAAACCATCGGGAACTGCATGGCATAGGCTGCAAGGCTACCATTGTCAGAATCCCAACCACTAACCATTGGGATAAAAGGGCTTGTTTGTATAGCGGGTGAGTGCGCCCATAACCCCCCAGGCCAACATGCCTGTAACCCTTCCTTAGGATCAATCGGGGATCACCAGTGGACCTCTGACAACCATGACTGCCAGGTGGTGGAAACGACAGCACGTACCCCACCTGGCGCGCAATTTGGCTACGTTGGCAGTGAGTGGTGCTTCGGGAACACACGGAAACCGGGTGCGTTGGCTGTAATGTTGCTCAACAAACCAATCGTAGGTGTGTGCGGGCATCCGTGCTGAATGTGCGTTGGCGCGCCAGTGGGTGTATCGAACAAATGGTCCAGTGCGACCGTGGTGCACTTTGTCGTGGCGCGTACTGTGGCGGAATCCGCGGTAGAAAAAAGTTCCGGTAAAAGGGTAGTTGAACCCCTACCCTGATACAGTCAGTGTAACTGGGAAAACTACAAGAGTATTTTTTAGCGTATCCTGATTTCACTAGGGTAAAAATCTCCATACCCTGATTTGAAAAGGGTAACTGCCAAAAAGTGGCCTATGAGCAGGGCAAAAAGGGTAAAATACCCTTGAAATTTGGGGCCTGATACCCACGTGTTTAGATACATTCCTCTGTAGAAAGAAAACAAGCACACGTGTGGGTATACCAGTAACTCGTACATCTCAAGTGCCCAAACTCATGCTCTCCCCAGAAATCATCGGCTCGACTGATAGCTTCAGGTGCTGTTGCTGCAAGTGCTGTTGCTGCAGGTGCTCTATCCACTACTGTTGTTACAGTCACACTTTAGTTGATTCCTGCACCCTCCACCGCATTGGCCTTCGCTACAAGCACATCCAGTAGAATCGGGTGCACGGTATAGTGAGCTGCCATGCGGGTGCTCTCATCTGCTGCCAGCAGAGTGAGGGTGTACTCTCTGTATCCCAGCATAACAATCTGTGGGAGAGGGGACCGGGGAGAGAACAAGGAAGTAGACAGTGGGGTAATGAGTCTGACCATGGGCTTTCAGAGCAAGGAAAATGGTGTGCCAACTGACCCTTGGGAAGGGCGGATCCCACCCCACCACACTCCATCCCACCCCACCCCATCCCACCAACCCCATCCCATCCCATCCCATCCCATCCCATCCCATCCCATCCCATCCCATCCCATCCCATCCCATCGCATGCACCGACCCTGCCTGCAGCAAGAACGACTTCAGGGTGTAATCCCACCCCTCCCATCCCTCCCCTCCCTCCCCTTCCCCCCCTCACCCCCCCCCCCACTCCCCCCCCTCCCCCCACTCCCTCCCCTCCCTCCCCTCACCCCCCTCCCTCCCCCATTGCTGCCGCTCACGCACCTGCCGCTGCTGCAGGCATGGCGGATTGCGCGGCCACGAGAGGACGGAGGGAGAGGAGGGCATTGAACGAGGCGGTGCGGCCGCGCAGCAGGCTTTGCTGAGTGCCACCAGTGACACGCGGTACTCAGCAGGGAGGGGCAGCAGGGAGCGCGGATTGCGCGGCCACGAGAGGGCGGCGGAGGGCGTTGAAGGAGGCAGTGCGGCCGCGCAGCAGACTGAGAGCCGCCAGTGACACGCGGTACTCATCCCCATCGCCTGTGCTTGAATCGCCCGCACTTGAGTTGCTTAGAGAAGGGGGAGAAGGGAGAGAAGGGGAGACGGGGAGAAAGAGAGAAATTGAACAGGAAGCAGAGGAAGGGAGGAGGGGAGAAGGGGAAATGGGAAAAGGGGAAAGGGGAAAATGGGAAAGGGGGAAGGAAAAAGGAGAAAAATCAAGAATGAATGGAAGGAACTCGCTCTGCTACAGTCAGGATGCGGGCGAGAGGATTCGATCGGGGGACGATCGCCCTGCACGGGGAACGAGAAGGAAACCAGCAATGCAGTCTCAAACTGGGGTGTCGCCTGTCGCCTGTCACCTGTCGCCTGTCGCCTGTCGCCTGTCGCCTGTCGCCTGTCTCGCTGTGGCCTCGTTCTGCTCTACCGCTGTGAGTCAGCTTATGTTCGAATCTTGAGTCACGTGACTTAAAAACCAGCTTGAGTTCTAGAGAAAGAGCACAGCACTTTTACCGAGAGTAAGTCGAGTCGCGGCGAGGCTCACCTTGGCCGCGATGTGTGCCACGGCGAATCAAGGCATGGAGATTAGTATTTCCTCGTCACTTGGCCAGTCGAGGTCGAACTCCCAATTAGGGTTTGGACGGGAACCGTCTTCTGCTGCCGTGCGGTGAAGACACGTCGATGGCAGAGGATAAGTAGGTATAGCGGGAATGCCGGAGGGCGCTGCATGTCAACGCCACGGCTCGTCATAATTTCCTCGAGCGACTCTGTAGCGAGTACTACGCTCTCACGTCGCGTGACGGAGGCGTCAGTACCGGAACGCGGTGTTGTTTTTGCGACAGGCTTCAGCGACAGGCGACTTGAATGGTTACCACCGTGGTCTGGAAAGTATTATTTCAACCCTTTCCCAAAAGTTTATGAGTCGAGCGGCGCGTGGGAGATTGTTTGAACGCGTCTCGTCGCAGTTCTTGACCTATGGCGGTCCCATCTCCGTTGCCCTGAGAGGCGTGGCGGGAGGGCGACGGCGTTCGCGGTGCGTGCCATTGCGGAGACAGCTGAGAACGAGAGAAGATGAGGGAGGGAACGGATTTGAGGAGGACGAACGCCAGCAGCGCATGTGACGGTTGTGAGAAAATGAGTTCATGTTCATGTTCTTGGCGATGATCTGAATGATGCGACTTTCTGAGATGTGCGCGTTGGACTTTCGCGACAGCCAACGAAGTAGGGAGGAAAAGGTGAGGGAGACCCGTGGCGGATTTCGGCACTCGCCCTCGTCTGAGTTACTCTGTTTCGCTGCGCGTCGCGCACTTTCGCTGGGAAAGGGACTGGGGATTCGTAAGTTGACACATGGAAACTGGCCTATCACGTGAAGTGAAGGGAATCTCCAATTGCACAAGTCATAGGAGGGCACAAGATGCACTTTAGCCAGGTGTCTATTTTGGGAGTCGGTGGGTTCGATGATTGGTGCCATGCCCAAACTCCTAGGAAATTTCAGCCTTCTTATTGGCGTGCTAACAATGAAGGAGATTTCCTATCCCAGCCTACGTGTCGTGGGATAACAGAACAGATCAGAACCACTCGATCAAGTCTTGCTTGTTCACAAGCATTCCATCTGTAGCAAACCTCCCTGTCAAACTCTACTGCGTGTTTGTGAGGGCGGGTGCAAAGAGTACGTCCGATGGGGATTGAGAAAGGTTTGGACCTGAACCAAAGCGGTCTAATTTTAAATCCAGATGGTTGGGTAGGGTTCTCTACTGCGAGGCAAGCCAGCCAGTTTCCGTCTTTCCGTGCTTGAGAAGCGAAGTGACTGGTTTTCGTAACAAGTGGTACTATGGATGGATTTCAACTGGCTGACAAATTACATTTCGGGCGATCAGCGATGCGCCGCTGCAGGCGTCCTTGAAGTGCCTGTCCTCGCCGGCGCAGCGAGTGATAGTGATAGAGCGCAGGTCACAGAGGTGTCCGGAGGAGGGAGTGCTTCATGATTGCGTCAGGTGGGGAGTAACCTGAGCGACGTGTAGTATCAGCAGCAGATCCACCACAACACAGTTCGCCGCCACTAGCCTACCGCTGCTAGCCTGAAAGCAGCTAGATTTGAGTTGGGGCTTGCTTGAGTCGCTTGGTGGATTCCTAACAAACAGAGCTGTTTCGAACAGAGCTATTTCTTTCTCAGAGCTGTTTCAAACAGAGCTTCTTGCTCTGAAGGCTTCCGTGAAATTCCTGTCGTCATTTTCCAAAACCCTCCTGTATTTCGAACGCAGTTTTTGCCTATTCGCCGGCGGTTGCGTAGCTGATCGTTGGCGGTGATGGGTAGCCGTGGAGATGAGGTAGCTCTCAGTCTTACAGCACCCGCTGATGCGGAGAATCATCATGAGGTGTGAGTGATGCCGCAGCCAGTGAAACATCACAACATTTTTAGCCGATTCCCTCGATTCTCACCACATCCTCCTCCTTAGGAAAAGACAATGGAATTGTAGTATCCTCGCTCTCTAACTCTCCCTCTTTTTGTTAATTTAACACATTCCCCAACCCAGATCGTGGACGTGGTTGATCTGCTGCCCGGCCCCATCTGGCACATCATCTTCCGCCACTTGCTGCTGGGTAGCTCCTCCGGCGCGTCACAAGAGGGAGGAGCAGGCAGCGCCTCCGGCGCATCACTTCTTAGTCGACTCAAAAAGAAGCTGCAGCGAGTGGGTAACTCCTCGGGCGCATCACAGGAGGGAGCAGGCAGCACCTCTCCGGGTGCCACTGGGAGTGGACTTCTGAGTCGACTGATAAAGAAACTGCAGAATTGGGGTAATTCCTCGGGCGCGTCACAGGAGGGAGGAGCAGGAGACGCGTCCTTCGGCTCCTGCTGGCCTCTGCTGCGCTGCGCCATGGTTTGCAAGAGGCTCCTCCACCATGTCGCCTCCTTCCCCGTGAGTCTCTCATTGCTCCCGTAATCCATGGTGAAATTCTTCTCTGGGTGCTGAGTTATGATGCGGTCACGGTCACCGCTACGGTCACGGCTATGGTCACGGCTAAGCTCCTCAACCGTCTTCTTGTCCGTAGCTGCGAATGAGCAAGGTTTCGAGCCAATGGCGCTGCCAAGCAACATACAGCAGAATTGTAAGTTGACTCACAAAGTCGCTCCTCAAGCACCTTTCTAATCGCCATCTCCATCTCTCCATGTGTCTGTCTCTCCATCTCTCCGTCCATCTCTCTGTCCATCTCTCTGTCACTCTTTGTATGAGCAGGAGTTTGATCCCATGAAGCTGACTATCAACCCCCAAGACCCCGCGCTCACACGTCTCTCGGGAACGCTCTCTTTGTTTCTCAGGCACGCGCCTCACACGCCTCTTAATGTCGTCCTCAACAGCCCCCAGGACCTGCACTGCCTCGGCCGTCTCTTGGGACCCTCTGCGCGCTCCCTCACAACCGTGAGCTTAGGGCTCAAGGAACCTTACGACAGTTTCCGGCTCCTTGAGAGCGAGCGGCTGATGCATTCAGCATTTCTGGGGGAGTTTGAGCAGCTGCAGATGCTGGAGCTAGGCTACGGGACTTGGCAATTAGGCAGCCTGAATCCGGCAATGTTCCAAGCCTTACGGAGTCTGAGCATCCACGATTTCGAGCGCGGCAGAAATGTTCTGCCCTTCCTTTCATCCATTGCGCCGCAGCTGCATGAACTCGCTCTCGCCTGCTCCACCCATGGCTCTGGCTCTACCTCTACCACCCTCGATTTCAAGTTCACTGCTGCTCGATCTATCACAGTCTGCTTTGAGAATCAACCGCTCCACCTCCGTTTCGCCCTGCCTGCCTCTTTGAAGTCCTTCTCTGCCACGGCGGGATGCCTTCACGTGGATTGCACATGCAACAGCCGCCTCTCTCTCGACTCGCTCTCTCTGATTGGCCGCTCGCAGCTTGTCGTTTCTTCGCTCCCATTGGCTGCCGCCAAATCCGTCTACTTGAACGGAGGCAACCAAAAATACCAGTGGCGTGCGTTTCCCTGTTCCAATCTCGAATCGCAACGCGCCTTGACCAACCTGCTCAGCAGCATAGCGCCAACAGTGGAGGAGCTTGTGTTGAGGTACGGCTGGCCTCTGGAGGGCGTGCGTGAGGAGTGGAGCCAGCTGCGTTGCCTTTTCATTGGTATAGATCGTCAGAGCACTGGGGGGATTAGTTATAAATCTCGTCCGGGGGATCCGGAAGATTCTAATTTTCTGGCGTTCCTTCGTGAGGGAGAAGAAAAGGGCTTCATCAGCAGCGGCGGCGGCGGCGGCGGCGGCGGTGGCGGCGGCGGCTTGCTCATCAATGCTCCGAACTTGAAGTCTTTTTACGATGTCACATGGCTGCTTGATACTGAGATGTGGGGGAGGAGAGGGGGCGGGATCGTTTTTGAACGAAGGGGCGGGGTGGTGGTCAGGGATTTGAGTGACTTGGGAGTCGTCTCAAAAAACCAAGGCGCGGGGTGGTGGTCAGGGATTTGAGTGAGTCGTACCAGGTGTGAGGATTGCATGTGTGAGGGAGGTGTGTGCAGGGACGAGCGGGAAGGGTGGTGTGTGCTGATAATGGTGTTCGCAAAGGTGTGGGCATGGGGTGGGTGGTGTGACCATGGGGTGGTGTGACCATGGGGTGGTGTGACCATGGGGTGGTGTGACCATGAAGTGGTGTGACCTGCTGCCTGCTGCCTGCTGCCTGCTGCCTGCTGCCTGCTGTTGTTTGCTGCCAGAGCAAAGGGCCGCTGCTCCACCAGCTGGTCACAGTAAAGCAGAGGACTTCGTGAGGGCTGGTTGTACTTTATCGATGTATTGTATGGATTATTTTTTGCTTGGTATTCATGCTCTGTGTTTCGCTTGCTTTACTTCTCAGTATTATCCCTCCCACTTGTCTTGGACATATAATATTTTCTTCTCTAACTCGCTCGTTGATGCTTCTGGCATCCACTGCTGCACAGAGCTCACCCACCGCTACATTCCTCTATACCCACGTGTGTACATACATTCCTCTGTAGAAGTAAAACAAGCACACGTGTGGGCATACCAGTAACACGTACATCTCAAGTGCCCAAACTCATGCTCTCCCCAGAAATCATTGGCGCGGCTGATAGCTTCAGGTGCTGCTGCTGCAGGTGCTCTATCCACTACTGTTGTTACAGTCACACTTAAGTTGATTCCTGCACCCTCCACCACATTGGCCTTCGCTACAAGCACTGTAGAGTTAGGTGCACGGCATAGTGAGCTGCCATGCAGTTGCTCTCATCTGCTGCCATACGGGTGCTTATATGCAGCCAGCAGTATGAGGGTGTACTCTCTGTATCCCAGCATAACCATCTGTGGGAGAGGGGGCCAGGGAGAGAACAAGGAAGGAAGTAGACAGTGGGGTAGTGAGTCTGACCATGGGCTTTTCGAGCCAAGGAAAATGGTGTGCCAAATGACCCTTGGGAAGGGCGGATCCCATTCCACCACACTCCATCGCATCCCACCAACCCCATCCCATCCCATCCCATCCCATCGCATGCACCGACCCTGCCTGCAGCAAGAACGACTTCAGGGTGTAATCCCCCCCCTCCCATCCCTCCCCTCCCTCCCCTTACCCACCTCACCCCCTCCCCCCCACTCCCCCCCCTCCCCCCACTCCCTCCCCTCTCCCCCCTCCCTCCTCTCCCTCCCCTCCCTCCCCTCCCTCCCCTCCCTCCCCCATTGCTGCCGCTGCCGCACCTGCCGCCGCTGCTGGCGTGGCGGATTGCGCGGCCACGAGAGGGCGGAGGGAGAGGAGGGCGTTGAAGGAGGCAGTGCGGCTGTGCAGCAGGCTGAGAGCCGCCAGTGACACGCCGTACTCCTCCCCACCTGTGCTTGAATGGCCCGCGCTTGAGGGCGTTGAAGGAGGCAGTGCGGCTGCGCAGCAAGCTGAGAGCCGCCAGTGATACGTGGTACTCCTCCCCATCGCCTGTGCTTGAATGGCCCGCAATTGAATTGCCAGCACTTGAGTGGCTTAGGAGCTCTGCATAGAGAATTTCAACCAGTTGTAGGCTGTTGTTTTGGCGTGGAGAGGAGGGAGTAGGGAAGAGGGGATGAAGGGAGGAGCGGAGAAATGAAGGAGGGAAAGGGGGATAAAGGGGAGAAGCGAGAGAAGGGGAGATGGGGAGAAGGAGAGAAGGGGAAAAGGAAGGGGAGAATGAGAGGAGGGGAGATGGGGAAAGGGGGAAAGGGGGGAAGGGAAGGGAGAAAGTTACAGTATGAATAGAAGGGATTCACTCTGCTACATTCAGAATGCGGGCCTGCACGGGGAACGAGAAGGAAAGCAGCAATGCAGTCTCAAACTGGGGTGTGGTCTGTCGCATGTCGCCTGTCGCATGTCGCCTGTCTCCTGTCTCACCGTGGCCTCGTTCTGCTGCGCCACGGTGAGTCAGCTTGAGGTCAAATTATGAGTCACGTGATTCAAGAACCAGCTTGAATTCAAAAGTAAGAGTACAACACTCGATCGAGAGTGAGTCGAGTCGAGTCTCACCTTGGCAGCGTTGTGCTGTGCCACGGCGATTCGAGCCATGGCGATTACCGTCAGCCAGTCCAGTCGACCTCCCAATTAGGGTTTGGAGGGGAGCCGTCTGCTGCTGCCGAGAACAACGGCGGAAGACACGCAGACACGTGGATGCCACGTGGTAGAGGATAGGGAGGTACAGCGGGAACGCCGGAGAGCGCCGCATGTCAACGCGACGGCTCGTCATGATAGCGGCCTTATCTTCTCGAGTACGCTCTCACGTCGCGTGACGGATAGGCGACAGTACCGGAACGCGGTGTTCGTTCTTGCGACAGGCTTCTGCAATTGGCGACTACAGTGGTTACCACTAGCGCCTGGTTCCGCAAGAATGCATCTATTTCCGCCCTCTCCTGAATGATTAAAAGCGCGTGAGTCGAGCGGCGCATAGGAGACTGTCTGAACGCATCTCGCCGAAGTTCCTGGCCATAAGTGATATGACAGTCCCGTCGCCGTTGCCCTAAGCGGCATGGTGGGAGGGCGACGGTGTTTGCGGTGCGTGCCATTGCGTGGCATAGCTGAGGTGTTTGGGGGAAGACAAGGAAGTGGGGAAGGAGGGAGGACAGGAACGGGGACAAACGGAAGGAAATGGATGTCAGTTTCTGCCCGCAAACTGTCGAGAACATGGTAACCCTGTTCGCAGCGCACATCACGGTCGTGGCGAGAAGATGAGCGCTACCTGGTAGCTCGGTTGGACCCGTCGACGAGGGTCGTGGCGAAGTATGAACCCGTCAACTCATGTGTTACATTGATTCGCTTACAAATCCGCTGCAGTTATGGTAGGAACTGGAATCCTGAACTCGATCCTTATCGCAAACTTCGCATTGCCTTTGAGACCTGCTTCATCCTACTTGGCTGAACATACCTCAGGGGATCCAATGTTGCAATCGTGTGCGAAGGTCAGAAGGAGCGAAATCAGTACTTGCGATTGTGTTACCTGATGCGAATGATTCGTCTAGCTGACGAAGTTCGAGTGAAACACCTATCGAAACGAAATCCGATGTTTGTTTTGCGACACGCCACGTGTAGTCCTCCTAGTGTTTGATTGGCTCAGTTGTAGCAGGCCAACCAGGGACCAGCAGATATCGGTATGAACCGAACTGGATACCCAGAAAACTAAGGGAAAGCGAACCCAACAGCTCTGTCTGTGCAGCAATTGCTCTGGCCCGACAAGGCCTAGTCGGACCAAAGCAATCGCTGGTTCAGCGATAGCGAAAAAGCTCGCGACTAGTTTCGCGCAACCGTAGTTGAACTGCTTTGATGGTGTATGGGTTGGAGAAAGTGCCGCGAGCAAAATCCTGTAACCATAGTAGCGAACTTCTTTTCCAAATTCCCCCCCGCAAAAGAAGGCCAGCCGTATTGGTTTCCAGTCAGCTGTGCTTTCTAGAAAGTTTAGAAACCTCCTGTATTCGAGTTGAACGCCAATATTTTGCCAGCATGTTTCACTGCGTCGCGTAGATGATCCCTGCGTTTTTCCCTGATCGTTGACGCTGATGGCTAGCCATGGAGATGAGGTGCTGAAGAGAATTCAGGCTCTCAAACTACCAGCATCCTCTGATGCCGAGAAGCATCATGATGACTCATCATCGGATGATCATGAGGTGCGAGTGATGTCGCAGACAATGAGACATCACACCATGATGTTTCCCAGGCAATTCCCTCGATTCACACCAGCACACCCACCCTCCTTAGGAAACGACAAAGGAACAGCCTAACCCTCGCACTCTATCTCGCTCTTTTTCATCTTCAAATATTTTCCCCAACCCATCAGATCGTGGACGTGGTTGATCTGCTGCCTGGCCCGATCTGGCACATCATCTTCTGCCTCCTGCTGCTGCCGTCATCGCACCAGGGACGCAGGCCCTGGCGTGGCGCTCGACTTTTGAATCGACTCAAAAATAAGCTGCGGAATCTGGGTAACACCTCACCCCGCGCATCGCAGCAGGGAGGAGGAGAAGGCAGCGCGTCGCCGGTTGCCACAGGGACTCGGAATCGGCTTCTAAGCCGACTCAAGAACAAACTGCAGAACCTTGGTAACTCCGCGGGCGCGTCGCAGCAGGGAGGAGCGGGAAACGCGTCCATCACGGAGGAGCAACACGCGGAGGCATTGAGGACCTTCGGCTCCTGCTGGCCTCTGCTGCGCTGCGCCATGGTCTGCAAGAGGCTCCTCTATCATGTCGCCTCCTTCTTCGTGAGTCATCATCATGCGCTCCCTTTCCCCCTTCCCCCTTCCTCCTCCCCCTTCCCCCTTCCCCCTTCCCCCTTCCTCCTTCCCCCTTCCCCGTTCCCCCTTCCAACCACCTATTTCTCCTTCCCTCATTCGGCCCACCTGTCCCTTTACCACCTTGCCGCCTTCTTCTCTCCGGGTGTCACAATCGGCGCTGCTTACTTAGGCTCCGTGGTTCCAAGCTCTGCCATCGTGAGTCACAATGGCATTCCACCGCACAACCTCTACTCTCACAACCTCTACTCTCACAACCTCTACTCTCACAACCTCTACTCTCACAACCTCTACTCTCACAACCTCTACTCTCACAACCTCTACTCTCACAACCTCTACTCTCACAACCTCTACTCTCACAACCTCTACTCTCACAACCTCTACTCTCACAACCTCTACTCTCACAACCTCCTCGGCCATGCCATGGTGAAATTCTTCTCTGGGTGCTGAGCTATGCGGTCACGGCTAAGCTCCTCACCCATCTTCGTGTGCAATGCTGTGTGCATTGCTGCGTGCATTGCTGCGTGCATTGCTGCGTGCATTGCTGAGTGCATTGCTGTATGTGAACTGCATTTTGAGCTGATGACTCAGAAAACTTGAAACTTGACTCACAAAGTCGCTCTAATACCTTCTTATCCCTGTGTCTCTCCATCTCTCTGTCACACCGTGTACGAGCAGGACTTGGAGCCCATGACGCTGCCCATCAACCCCCAAGACCCCGCCACTCTCACACCTCCCTCGGGAACCCTTTCCGTCTTCCTACGGCACGCCCCCCACACGCCTCTCAATCTCGAGCTCAACAGCTCCCACGAAATTCACCACCTCGGCCTTCTCTTGCAGCCCTCTGCACGCTCCCTCGCAAGCCTGGGCCTTGGAATCAAGGAACCTCTGGGGGGAATCGAGCCTATTATTAAGGAGAGGCACCTGATGAATCCGGCCTTTTTGGAGGAGTTTGAGCAGCTGCAGCGGCTGAAGCTGGGTCGCGGGACGTGGCAACTAGGCAGCCTGAATTCAGCGCGGTTCCGGGGTTTGAGGAGCCTGAGCATCCACGATTTCGTGTGCGACGGAAACGCTCTGTCCTTCCTCGCATCCCTCACGCCACATCTGCGTGAACTCGCACTCGCCTCCTCCAGCCATGTCCTGCCCTTCGCCCTCGATTTCAAGTTCACAGCTGCTCGAACCATCACGCTCTGCTTTGAGAAACAAGCGATCCACCTCCGGTGCGCCCTGCCTGTTTCTTTAAAGGCCTTCTCTGCCACTGCGGCGTGTCTCAACGTGGATTGCACTTCCTCCTCCAGCCCTCCCTCTCTCGACTCGCTCTCTCTCGTTGCCTACTCTCAGCTCCTCGTTTCCTCGCTCCCATTGGCCGCCGCCAAATCCGTCTACCTGAACGGTGCAAGCACCCGGGCAAATCGCTGGCGCGTGTTTCCCTGTTCCGAAACCGACTCTCAACGCGCCTTGACTCACCTGCTCAGCAGCATAGCGCCTACAGTAGAGACGCTTGTATTGAGGTACGGCTGGCCGTTGGAGGGCGTGCGTGTGGAGTGGAGCCGCCTGCGGCACCTCAGCGTTGGTGTGAACCGTTACTGCACTGGGGGGTTCAGTTACAGCGAAAAGCCGGAGGATCCGGAGGACTCTCGGTTCTGGAGGTTCTTCGGCGGGGAAGAAGGGAGCATCATTGGCAGCAGCAGCAGCAGTAGCAGCAGCGACCTGTTCATCGATGCTCCAAACCTGGAGTCGATATACTATGCTACTGAGGAGTGGCAACCTGGGATTCCAGATGCTCTGCGCAGGCAGTTCCCTTCCCTGGCATCGTACAGGATTGTCGATCCAGCGTTCCGCTGGCGCAGTAGCGATAGCGGGGGTGAGAGGAGCGGTGTGATTAGGTCGGATTGGCGTGGCAGGTTAGTGTGGGAACACAGCATGTCATAGCGGTGGCATGGGGTCACATAGTGTCACGGTGATAGCATAGAATCAGATTGTGTCATAGCGGTGTCATAGCAAATGATCATGCTGGTGCCTTAAAAGACACTGGCAGTGGGGGTGGCAATGGTGGGCAATGGTGGTATAGTGTGGTATGTGGTGCTATGGTATAGTATGGTATGGTATGTGGTGCTATGGTATAGTATGGTATAGCATGGTAATGCTGGGGCAACGTGCCTGTGGGTGTCATGATGCTGCTGCCTGCTGCCTGCTGCCTGCTGCTGAGGAGAACAGCAGGTGCTCGACCAGCTGAGAACAGTAAAGAAAAAGAAGAGAAAATGAGGGCTGATGGTTAGGTCTTGATGCTTTGTATGTGTGCTTGTATTGATGTTTTGTTTGTTTTAATTCGCGTACTCCTCGCACTCTCCTCCTGCGGCCGCCGCTGTTGCTGCTGCTGGCGTGGCTGCAGCTGCTGTCACTGCTCCCTCCTCCCGTTGCCCCTGCTCCTTCTGTCTGCTGTTGCCAAGAACAACGGCGGAAGACACGCACGACACGTCGACGCCACGTGGCAGATGATAAGAAGACTGTCAGAGGTCCACTGGGGATCCCCGATGATCCTAGGGAAGGGTTACAGGCACGTCGGCCTGGGGGGTTATGGGCGCACTCACCCGCTATATAAACAAGCCCTTTTATCCCAGTGGTTAGTGGCTGGGATTCTGACATGGTATCAGAGCGAAGGTCTCGGGTTCGATTCCCGGTGTGTGCACTTCGGGCATCCCAGTGCGGGGGGGTGTCAGAGGTCCACTGGGGATCCCCGATGATCCTAGGGAAGGGTTACAGGCACGTCGGTCTGGGGGGTTATGGGCGCACTCACCCGCTATATAAACAAGCCCTTTTATCCCAGTGGTTAGTGACTGGGATTCTGACATGGTATCAGAGCGAAGGTCTCGGGTTCGATTCCCGGTGTGTGCACTTCGGGCATCCCAGTGCGGGGGGGTGTCAGAGGTCCACTGGGGATCCCCGATGATCCTAGGGAAGGGTTACAGGCACGTCGGCCTGGGGGGTTATGGGCGCACTCACCCGCTATATAAACAAGCCCTTTTATCCCAGTGGTTAGTGGCTGGGATTCTGACATGGTATCAGAGCGAAGGTCTCGGGTTCGATTCCCGGTGTGTGTCTCAAAGTCTACATGCAACGGAATGATTGGAATTAGGGTTTGCAAGCATACAAATAGGAGTCCTACAAATGTTGTACCCTTTAGGGAGTGCCTCACTGCAGCCTATCATAACATTAACATTTGACACACCCCCATAAACTAAGTGAGGGACACCAGGGCAAGCAAGGTGAAAACAAACGGTCACAAGACCAGTCAAGGCAAGACAAGCTCAGGGTGGAGCTCAAGGACACCACACAAATTCCGAGCACAAGCAAGTGGCCACAAGGCCAGTTCAACAGTTCACTAGGATATAAATATGAAAACACAACAAGCAGAGCAAGCAACAAGACTACAGCAACCGGGGGCCTACCTCAACAAGCCCCAACTGCACACAGAACCTGTGGTGATCACCAGGCGCCAAGGCCTTGGTGAAGACGTCTGCAGTGTTGGCCTCTGAGGCCACAAAGTCCAGGCGTGCCTGGCCGCGTCGCTGCAGCTCTCGCAGGAGGAAGTACCTCACGTCAATATGCTTTACTCTGCTCTCCAGTCGCGGCTCTCGACACAGGAGGATCATGGCCTTGTTGTCAGCATACAAGGTCGGTGCAGAACGAGGCCGCTCACCAAGGTCGGTGAGCAAGAAGGTCAACCAACGCAGCTCCTATGCCGCCATGGCACCAGCGTAGATCTCTGCCTCTGCACTGGAAGTAGCCACAGACGACGACCGAGTAGACCTCCACGACACAGCACCAGCTCCCAGACTGAAGCAGTAACCCTGAGTCGAACGCTGAGTCTCCACGTCGTCAGCGTAGGAAGAGTCGCAGTGCCCAGTCAACGCCACTGGCTGAGTCCCTCCAAGCACAAGCCCCATGCCTGATGTAGTCGCCAGGTACTTCGCCACCCTCACAGCAGCTGTCCAGTGGACAGGACGGTGTCTCCCAGTCGCAACAAAGCGAGAGAGGACGCTGAGAGGAAAGGCGAGGTCCGGGCGAGTACAAGTCATCAGGTACATGAGGCAGCCCACCAGCTCTGCGTAGGGACCACTGGACTCAAAAGGCTCGTCGGGAAAGGGGCCAGTGAGTCTGTGGTCAACAGCAAGAGGAGTGGGCTGTGTGGTGGAGAACTGGAAGTCGAACCGCCGAAGGACCTGCTGCACCATGTGTGACTGCGTCAGTGTGATGGTGCGAGCGGCTCTGTCCCGGGTGATCTGCAAGCCAAGGTAACGCTGCAGCTCACCCAGGTCAGTGCACTTGTGTCTCTTCTGCAGTTCGAACTTCACCTGAGCCAGGGCTGCCCTGTCTGCTGTAGCAAACACCAAGTCGTCGACGTAGACAAGGATAAAGAAAGGAGTAGAACCCGCTCGAACAAACAGCGACGGGTCGGCGGAGGACGGGCTGAACCCAAGGTCACGAAGCGTGGAGCGAAGAGTGTCGTGCCACTCACGGGGCGACTGGCGGAGACCGTAGACTGGTCGCCTCAGGCTCCACTGGGTCCCTGGTGGGAAGGTGTCAGTGAAACCAGGAGGACGGCGCAGCCAGATCTCCTCGTGCAGTCGGCCCTGGAGGAACGCAGTGGAGAAGTCGAGGGAGTGCAGCTCGTAGTCTCGCTGCGCTGCTATGTGGAGTAACACCCGAAGAGTAGTCATCTTCGGGGTCGGGGCGAAGGTCTGGAAGAAGTCAACTCCCTCACGCTGACTGAAGCCCCTAGCCACGTAGCGCGCCTTGAACACCGGCGGTGCTCCAGGCGGCCGCTTCACCTTGAAGAGCCACATGCCATCGACTACGTTCGCCCTGGGAGGGGGAACTGCGTCGACGTAGGTGCCTGTGGATCTCCAAGACGCCAACTCTGAGTCCATAGCCGCTTTCCACTGAGAGGCCCACGCCCCTGACACTGCCTCGCGGTAAGTGCGAGGAGTCGGTATGTCAAGGGCGTCGGGGTCTCCCTCAGGGGAGAGCAGCATGGCACACACAGAGGGAGAAGCGGCTGCCCAGTACTCCAGCTCAGACTCTCTGTCCTCTAGGACGTCACAGCCAAGGGCAAACTCACCCCCGACGGACAGAGGACGGTAGGGAGGAGCTGGCACCACACGGGTGGCGTAGTCAAGGCGGCTGGCGGCAGCAAACTCAGCGACAGCGGCAGTGAGAGCAGAGACCGACGACGGAGGGAAACGAGAGTCGGTGACAAGAGTGGCGAGGACACGTGCGGCAACAGGACGAACAGCGCGGTAGTAGTCGGTGATAGGAGTGGGGAGGGAAGGGAGAGAGGACGGAGGAGGAGACGGGAGAACGGACTCAGGAGAAGGAGAACGACGACGAGACGAACAAAGGAGGGCAGTGTGGAGGTCAGTAACAGGGGACGAGTGACGAGCACGCGGCGAACAACGGGTGACCAAGTCGCGACGGACAGAAGGAGGAGGAGACTGTGGAGGAGGAGAAGACCAGACCGCCGGACGGTCGTCAGGAGGAGGCAACGGAGAAACAAACACAGGAGGAGACTGGGAGCGGACAGGAGGAGAGGAGGAAAGGCCAAGGGCCCGCAGGCCACTCACAGGTGGGAACAACTGCCGCTCAAGAGGAAGCTGCGGAGGCGGCTGCTGCTGCTGCTGCTGCGGCTGCGGCTGCGGCTGCGGCTGCTGCTGCTGCTGCTGCTGCTGCTGCTGCTGCTGCTGCTGCTGCTGGCGCTGCTGCTCCAGAAGGTCCAGCACCCGCAGCTCCTGCCGCTCCCTCTCCAGCCGCTCCTGCTCCTCACGCTCACGCCGACGGGCAGCCTGGAGACGCGTGTCGTGGCGGTGGGGAGGCGGAGTGGACTCCGCAGAACCAGGGCCTCCAGCGTCAGTCTCCTCAGACTCAGCTCCCCCAGAACTAGCACCGCCAGCGCCAGCACCTCCAACTCCAGCACCCCCAGAACTAGCACCTCTAGTGCCAGTACCTCCAGCTCCAGCACCCCCAGAGCCAGCGCCACCTGCGCCAGCACCTCCAGCTCCAGCACCCCCAGAGCTAGCGCCGCCTGCGCCAGCACCTCCAGCTCCAGCACCCCCAGAGCTAGCGCCCCCAGACCGAGCACCGCTAGAAGCTGCACCTCCAGCTCCAACACCAACCGAGTCCACAGGAACCTGTCGCGGAAGCGCCGAAGGCTGCTGAGGGGGCTGTGAGGAGGACTGCGGGGAGGGAGACGCTACCTGACGCGCGACCGAGGGTAGAGGGGTAGCGTGAGACACACCAGACGGGGCAGGACCAGGGGGGGGCAGGGGTACCGGAGGAGCGGGAGCAGGAGGAGGAGAGGGTGCGAGGAAAAGAGGGGGAGGGGGTACCGGGAGACCTCGACAAGGGTACCGGGTGTAGTAGGACACGGACTCGTCAAACCGGACGTCACGGGAGTCTAGGAACTGGTGGAGGGGCGGGTGGTAGAAGGACCAGTCGGCCGAGTCTACCGGGAAACCAAGGAAGACACAGGGAATGGCGCGTGCCGAGAGCTTGTCCGCAGAGGTGTCGCGGACCTGCGCAAGGCAGCCCCAGACTCGAAAGGCCGACCCGACACCAGGGGAACCAGTCCAAAGACTGGTCGGTGAAGCCTCGGGCCGCGAGACACGCGGCTGGAGGTTCAGCTGGTGTGCGGCGTAGCGAACCGCGTGGGGCCACAGAAAATGGGGCGCACGGGCATGGATCATGGACGTGCGGGCGATGTCCATGACCAAGCCTATGCGGCGCTCAGCAACCCCATTCTGCTGTGGGGACTCTGGCAGAGTCCAGGACTGGGTGATGCCCTGTTCGCCGCAGAATCCGCCGAGAATGCCGGAGCGAAACTCGCCCCCACGGTCGGAGTGGAGACAACTGACTCGACGACCACGAGTGCCCTC